CGGCGCCCCCCCCCCCACACCCCCGCGCCCACCCCCCCCCGCCCCCCCACCCACACCCACACCCCCACCCACACCCACACCCACACCCACACCCACACCCACACCCTTAAATTTCTAGAATATTGCTAGGATTCTTTTTTGGGCACTCAAAAAGTAAGTACACTCTGGAATCAGTCAATGTGTTCGGTCGGCCGTTTACGTGATAACTCTTGAAAATATGAACCGCTTGCTATGAGACTTTCTGCAGAAAATCTTCTCATGAATATCTCGATTGAGTTCCAAGATAAGAACTATTGTTGAAGAAGTCGATAAGTTATCCCAAAAATGTCGTTTTTCCTATGCAATTTCTATGCGCAGATTGACCTATCCAGGATTTTGAAAAAACTTTTTTCTCATAATCAAAACGAAATTCTCAACTATTATATAACATTCAATAGAGAATTTCATAGGCTAGAAAATGGTATAAGAAATATTAAAAAACAAGAAGATTAAGTTATGTGTTGCAAAGATACTTAAGCGGAAATTGTTTCTGCGTTTGTCCATGCTCTGTTTCATGGAAAATTGTAGCTTCGTTTTCCAATTACAGTAGCGATACTTGAAAGTTTTATCATACTTGAGCAAAGGTTTTCTGAGGTGAAGAGCTTAAATCTGAGCTCCAATTGTCTCAAAATCCTATTGGTTCACCAGTGACCAAGAGAAATTGAGTTTTTCGGAAAAACGGCTCCCTGGGATAAGTTTGATGTTTAGACATACTATCATGACTCGTTTTTAGATGGATTGATCAAAATCAATCTCTCGTGACTAAATCTTCCTGTTTGAAGTAGACATAACCACTCGCATTTAACTCCAATGTTTCCACAATTTTTTATTATAAGCTTTGTAGATCAGAGCATAAAACAGGCCTACTTTTTCTTGGGCTGGCCTGCCCGTGGCAGGCTTCAAACTTCTACAGCCTGCCTGTGCCTGTCGCTCATTTTCTGGGCCTGGCCTGCCTGCCTGTCGTTTTCGCTTGGCCTGCCTGGCCTGCCTGTTGAAGCCTGTGTATAGTTTTTATGCACCAATACGGTATAATGATTAACCTTTTGGTTACGGGGTCCGCATTTATGTGGGCTGAGCGTCTATGCAGAGTATAGCTTTTACAGTCTTCTATATTTCTTAGGCCGTAGAAAGTTTTCTCTTTCTCCCATGCTTTTAGTGTGAAAGCATCATTATATGACACCCCTATGCATGCATGTTAGTTGAAAACAAAGAATTATGGATTCAGAGGTCTATGAGAATTCATAGATTCTCTAAACTCAAAATCGTTCAAAGTCGTGTGAAACGAAAACAGAAGTCCGTAAAATTGCGCAGAATGCAAGAACTATTGTTACCCTGAAGAGTTGCAAGTATTGCTGAAGCTCTAGCCTTAAGAAACACTAGAGATTCAATGTTATAAAATCTGTTTTATAATATAGGATCATAAGATTATTCATGCGGTTACGCAAAGAATTTCATGAGTCTTTAGGTCACTTTACTCGACTTTGCTATTCCAGAATTTAATTGCACTGGTTAAAGCCTGATACAATGCATTGATTCGCTTGGGTGCATATACCTTATTCTCGACTTTGACGAGCAAACTCAAACTTTTCTCCCTATTTCCAAAAACCCCGTAACGAAAAGGTTAAACGAAACCTCAAAACAGCCGTTCATAGAAAAAATAAATAAATAAATTTAAATAAGAATGACATGACTAGGTGAAGTGTTTGTTGATTCAATACATAATGTTTGCATATAGAATACACTTACAAAATATACTAATTTTTACAGAAAAAAATCTGCTTTTCAATCAAGAACTTTTTGAATCGATCGTACGAAAAGAACATCATTTAGAGAGTTAGGATCGAGTGAAGAACGACGTTGTGTTATTATAAAGCCAGCAGATGAAAATTGTTGCTCTACTCCAGCAGATGTAATCGGGATAGAAAAGAGACGACGGGCTAGTAGAGCTAAACCGGGAAATTTTTTGATGGTCACGCCAGAATGGTAATCAACTGGACTACTTGTACATGTCCTCAATGCTCATTCGTAAATATCTTTCAAGTTCATCATTTTTTAATGTGTTTGTTGTTGTTGAATTGATACCATAAGTGCCATCGTCATGATCAACTATCCTCATATGAAATTATCGATAACAACATTTTATGATCAAGATCGAACTTTTATTGGAAGTTGAAAAATTATGGTAGACAGGCGACCTGCCCATTTCAAGCGGCCTGCCTGGCCTGTTTGAGATTTTGGCCTGGCCTGCCTGGCCTGCACCAGGCTTGAAAATCATGGCCTGAGCCTGCCTGTCACAGGCAGGCAGGTAGGCCCCATGGCCTGTTTTAGGCTCTGGTTCATGGTGATGGTGGCTGAAAATTTCGAAACTGAATAATTCTTTGGATAATAAGAAGTATCTGTTTATTTGAATATTTGATTAGCAATAATTTCAAAAGACTAAATGAAATAATTGTATTTCCCACGTTATTTTAATGAAGATATTACAATTAAGTAATTTAGATAGGAATAATCAATTACTGATCACTATCGTCCGCAGCCAAGAGACCCAGCGATCTTAAGGATGGCCAAACTTTGCTGATAGATATCAAGATGCTAAAACAAAATACCCGCTTTAGTTTTTAACGATAGAGACTAAAAGACGATCTCTACAAAGCATTAAGTTTGAGTTATGCCGAAGATCTTATTTTTATTGTGTAGCTTTTATTGTTTAGCGATTTAGAGAAAACAGGAAGGGAACATGCTAATTGGTTGTTTTGGTTTGCTGAGTTTCTACCACTTGATGAACTACCAATAGGAGATTTGTCATATTTCTTGTGCGTTATACAAAACTGTAGACGCTAATCCGTTTTCGGTTGAGGATGATCTATCATCTATTTATTCAAAGTTTCATTAATAGAAGAAAATTTTGCAATAAATTCGTTTAATATCTAATGTATCATTTGCTTTTTTATGCAAATGACACGAATGATAACATATAAATTATTATTTTAGTACGTTAGGTCGTTTTCTTAGAGTACAATAACTTTTATTGAAATTATTAAAACTCTTTATATCGAGTGATTGATTCAGATATATATAAAATTTGAACTACCAACATTAATAAAACTTCTTAGTACTTTTCTTATTTCTGATATAGAGTACTACTTTTTTTATACATATAAAGAATCGAAAAGGTTGATAAAACAATTTTATAGCTCAAACATAACGGAATATAGGTAAAGTTTTCGGTTTTCGCATTCAGGTATCGGCGGCGACGACTCAGCCGCACGGCTTACACTTCTAATTATGAGCATTAAAATGAATCAATCTTATTAGAAAGGATGTTTATAAAAGCCCATTATTATTAAGCAATGCAGGGTGTTCCAAAAGTTCCTGAGAAAAGTTTTTTCGTTTTATTTCACTATTGACTAGACTACACTGAATAATTTTTTTGCGGATAATAATAAATGCATAGAGTTTTTATTTCTAAAGGCAATTTTTAAAAGCATTGTTGACAACTAAGACGTTTAGCCGAAAGACAAAAATTTAGCCTGTTTTCTCTTTCTAGAAATATTCATAGATAATGTACTTTTCAACTGCTTGAATTTTGATTTAGTATTATTCATCTCGTTTTTGTAAAGAACTACCAAAATAAATTTCTGTGAAAAAGCCGTTCAAGTATTTGGCAATTTAAAGATTCGAATCAACCAACAATTCAAAGTAGTTAAAAGGGAAATGTTATGAAAATTCTTTTCGAGAAAAACAAAACAAGCTAAATTTTCGTATTTTGGCTAAAGGTCTTAGCTTTCAACAATGCTTTTGAGATTTGCCTTTAGAAATAAAAGTTCTGTGCATTTATCTATTATCCGAAAAAAGTTACTCAGTGAGGTCTAATCAATAGTGAAATGAAACGAAAAAACTTTTCTCAGCGACTTTTGTAAAACCTTGCAGATATATGTTTGTAACATCAGTTGTTTCTGATCTACACATTTTATTAGTTACTGTAACGATCGAAGATCACTACAAGGTTTCAACAAAGAAATAAACAGGTTGTGTTCGAGATTGTCGAATGACTTTTTCATTGAAAGATATTTAAAATAAAAGTTTTTTCTGATTTTTCCAGTATGCTCTAATCATTTTTTTCTTATTAAATCTCTTTTCGATTATTTCATATTATAAAAATAGGATAAAATAACTTAGAAGTATTTTCTGTATGTGATAGATCTTATTAATGAAAATAAAAGTAATAACGTCTATTTTCATAATATGAACAAATTTTTCAGCTGCATTTCCTTTAATTTCTTTAGAAATTAAACGACAACAATCAATGTATCGATAAATAGATCACTATCAAAATGAAAAGTAATTGCTGTAATAGAATTCCAGTAACGCACTTAACGAGTAATATTGCTCACCTTTTTATTTAGGTGTAAATGATAAGTTAATTGAGTCTCATCACATTTTCTTAAATATCAATTATTTTTTTGTACCAAACTTCTGAATCAAATAAAAGAAAAGATTCATCTTCTGATGTATTTAATTGATAATTAATACCATATATCTAACTTTTCAATGATCATTTAATGCTTCAAATTCATACGAATATACTCCTATAATGATAAACAATACTATCCGATACGTTATGCTATCATTTTCACACAATATGGGAAATCTATCAATACATATGCAACAATTCTTATTCATTATAGTTTAAATTTATTTGAATTGAAGTTATTTTTGGAAGATCATACGTTTTTATTGAATTATTGATTGAGTTATTTTTGGAGAGATAAAACGAATATCTTGAAGAAAAGGTGGATCATTTAGTAATCAAATGATATTTGTTGTACTGAATCTATTGAGACAACTGATGATCATTATAGAAACATAAGTGACAAAAAATAATTTGTACTCTATCATAGAAAAAAAAGAATACAAAAAAAAATGAAAATCCATAAACATGATATAACTGATCGCCACAATTATTCATCATCAGTCGTATTGTCCGAATCATCATGATCTACTGTTTTTTTATGTTTACGTGCTGTACTTGAGATAAAAGCTATAGATAAATCCACAATAATAGGAACCGTATCATCATCAATACATGGTAAATCAGTAGGCCATTGAAAACCGAAACGCTGGAGGAGAACTTTGCAGAAAATTTGGCAATTAATTGATGATGACCATATCGTGTCCGTTTCGTTGTTCGTAAGTTCATCGAAAACCTCATTTCCCTATAAGAAACAATTATTCTATGAAACATTAATTACGCTTACAATTCTTTTACTTACAAGCATTATCAAAGAACAAGCCCATTCTCTGGGTTTTGTTGAATGTATATGTATTGGTGGTACAATTTTACCAATATATACTATTTCATAAAAAATATTACGTCGTCGTGATTTATCACCAAAACGAAATTTACTCTTACGAGTAGTTGCCCTCGCAGTTAAATGCAGTAAAACACCTCTGAGATAAACTTCGCTACTAGCACCAGCCACGTCTACCAGTAAAGCATGATGAGCAATTTTTCGTACACCGGTTTCATTCTTGAAGACCAATATGAAAACATCACCAACTTTTGTCGCATCAACAATTGAACGTTTGATATTGGAAAGAAAATTGTTCATTATACCTGTGGTCCACTTGTTGTTGTTCTGGTTCCGATTAACAATCTTTAACAACCCAATACCCATAAGCTGATCACGAATAAATGCAATAAGCAAAATTATTTTATCTAGAGTAAGTATGTCGAAAAATTAAAAAAGTGAAGGTTACATCACACTTTAACAATTTATGCTTTTTTTTATATACTTCTATCGGCGCCAGAATTCAAGGCAGTCGGATGTTTTTTGAATAACTTTTGATAGGAACAAGATAGAGACCTGCGGTTTTCAGTGTTGGATAGCCAAGACCTAGCAGCATATTTTCATAAGCAAAATCTTTTCTGAGAAAAAATTCGAAGATCGGTTTTTTAGAGAATTTCTGAAAAACCATGCTGGATTTCTGAAAACTGCCATAGGAGTATATTGATTTTTTCACATATCCAGAATCTGCATCAAAAACTGAGTCGAACCACGTATGTTTCGAATCTTTTCACGAACTTTTTTTTCGTCGAAAAATTCACCCCGGGTCCCCATGAGGGGTAGGTCAAAAATGAAGGCAGGCAAAACTCCGTTTTTATTGTTTATTCATTTGCCATTTTATGTTCTACTAGCATTTTAGAAGTTCTGAACTCGATTTCCGTTGTCCAAGTGACTTTTTGACTGACTTTATTATTTGATCTCTTCCTCAGTAGGCCAT